ATTAAAAGTGTGGATTATTGTAACCTGGATTAAAAGTGTGGATTATTGTAGTGAAGCCTTCGTCTTCAACCATCGACAGAGGCCTCATGTCAGTGACGATCATGTTCAGGATGTTTCAGTGAAGACAGCTGCTGCTGTGGTGTCCATGATGTCTGTCCATCATGAAGGATGTTGTTGTTTGTTGTTGTTTGTTGTTGTTTTCTGGAATGAGAGAGTAAAATGTATTATAGTATAATTTACAGCAACTCAAGAAATGCGTTGTTTCACTTACAGTGTTAGGTTCAAGCAAAAGTAGCTAAAAGAGCAATTAAACACACAAACACACACACACACACACACACACACACACATAAATACTTAATTACACACATTTGAGTAGATGTAATAAATTATTTTAATTTCTGTTTAAATGCAATTCATCCTGCCATACCTGCAGTGTCTTCAGACTTTGCCAACAAATTAAAAGTTGAAGCTTAATCATTAAATTATTATCTTTGTGTTAGATTTATTTATAAATCACATTTAATCACTGCTTGTACCAATTAAATTAAATAAAAAGTAACACACACATTCTCTATCACCCTCATTAATCAGATAACAAACAAATAAACAAACAAACAAACAAGCAGCTTCATCTACCAGAGAGACTGACGTTACGTTTTCTCTCTTGAAACAGAACAATGTGTTAAATTGTAGAGACTCACCTGCAACACATGAAGAGTTGTATCAGCTGCAGCTCCTTCCTCCTCCTCGTGACTCCGAAATATTTACGTTTCATCTCCGTGGTTCTCCAGTGTCGTGTCATCAATTTTCAAAGCTGCATGTTTCTCAGTTTTTATCTCTGTGAAGAGCTCCCACACTTTGGAGGACTTGGGTCAAACAGTTTTCGCTGCGTTGGTCATTTGAAAAATTTACTTAATTTCCTTTGAAAACAGCCTCTGCTCTGCTTCCTCCGCTCTGTTCAACTCACGCTGCAGTTTTTTTTTCAAACTTTATTCAGTCAGTCAGCATTGACAATGAACTGCCCATGAACAAAACGGCTCTGCAGCACCGTGAAAGACGCATAATCGCGCAACACAACGAATCCATGATTAAATTCGTTGCCAACGCTTTTAATCATTGATTTTTATCGATTTGTTTTTGCAGCCCTAATATGAATATTTCTATATTTATCACCCCAGTTATAATGTTACACACGTTAGTAATTGTAAACACTCAAAATAATAAATATGTTTGTTTAGTGTTTACCTTTAAACCTAAACATTTAAGGAATAAACATTTTTAATAATCACGTTTAAAGTTAGTATATTTGGTGCCTGTTTGTTTTACATATATATTAGTGTGTGGGAATGACAGGGATTAACGTCAAAAACTTAGTAGAACGGTGCTTTATGAAGTTCAATCCATTTCCTTCTATTAGTTGACCGGCAGATCTGCCACGTTCAATATGGCGGATGCTCTGACGACCAGTCCGCTCAACGAGGCGTCTACAGCCAAACCCATCTGTTCTCTGATTGGATCCTTTATTTGTGATTGACATTGTCAAATTAGGTGGATGAAAAGAGGTGTTGAGGTCAGACTGCACATGTATGGTGAAGGTAGACATTTGAAATAAAGCATATTTAATGAATGATTGTTCAATAAAATAAGTTTTGTGGGTGTGTTGATTAAAATAAAGATTGTATGCCTGTCTGTCAAGGTGATGAAGCAATCAAATGTTATTATGATATTTTTGTAATCAAAAGGATCCTATATAATCTGTTTTGCAGTCAAAGAGTTATTCATTTAGTAATTGTAAAGGTTAAATCTGGATTTCACTTTTAATTGTCAAGTAAAATGCTTTTAGAAGAAGGGTTTTTATACCTCTCTATTAGTAAGTTTTTTTTCCTCGTTTAGGATTAGAAGATTAAAGGTTCAAAGTTAAGAAACAGAGTGTCACTTGCAACAATTGACAGGAAACTCAGCAGTGTGGTTAGGCTTCACACACCCATCCTGTTAAAAGTTGTGTTGTCTTGGCTTGTTCTGCAAAGGCTCAAACTGTGAGTTTATACCTCTCTTTTAGTAAGTTTATTTTTTACATTTAGGATTAAAAGTCTCCATTAATAAGTACATTTTTACGTTTAAGATTAAAGGTTTAGAGTTGAGAAATAATAGAAGTGACGGCCAGATAGGAGGATGTTAGGCAAAACACCTGTCATGAGCTTGCAACATAAGTGGAAGTATGCTATTTAGACAGTTGAGCGGTTGCATAAAAACCACACGCTGAAAAAAAGGAGATGATCTTTTGAACTGTTGAAAAGTCTTCAAAATGGTTGATAATTTTTGAAAATGGATGTTAGATCAGAAACAAGACAATCAGAGACAAGAGATGAGTTTAAAACGACAAGATAGCAGACGATGGTCGGTCAGTCATTTCGGGTAGAGATAGAACACGGTTGTAAAGCTCTGAAGACTTGGATCAGATCTGAAGATCGAAGAGGGAGATTCTGGCTGCAGAAGAGCTGAAAAAACAACAAAAAATGGAAACTTAAAGCAACGAAGAACCGCTCAGCAGCCCATGATCACCCTTCAAGAGGACTGACCCCAGATAACTCTAAACAAGTCTCTGATTGGAATTAATTACATTTGATGACCTTTTTCAACAAAGGTAGTAGGAATTCATCTTTTTTCCTGGAAAACCGATCCATTCATAGGATATGTGGTAGGAACCAGCCTTTTTGAACCATTTTAACCAGTTTAAAAATTGCAGGTTGCTTTCTGCGTTTTTTTTTTTGATATTATTGGATTATTTGGATATAAATATTGGAATTTTAATTTGGATTTTCACCAGATTTTTATTTCATTCATTATACTGCATTTTTTTAAACGCATTTGCTTGCACTGCTGCTGGATTTTTGAAGGCTACAAATGTAACATTATACAAATTTATGATTAAAAACACAAAGTATGAAAATCGTAGAGTGTTGGACTCATTTTCATGATGGCATCTGATTGATACAGGCTCATTGCTGAACTTTCTCAGGAAGTGTGCTTGGTTCTGAAATTTTGGGAGGTTTTTAACAGTTACTTAGTTAGATTTTTGAACAGCATCCTCATATAAGAGGGATGGACTTATCATTCAAGATGGCCACTGTGCAAGTATGTTTGAGAGTGTCTCTGCAAATAATTAACTGAAAAGTGGACTTAACTTTGGATAAAACAGCTTCAAAAACGACAAAATACTGAAAACTGAGTGGAGAGGGACAGTGAGAAAGGAGGACAAAGAGGAGAGGAAGGAGGTGCAAGAAGTATAATGAGAAATGTCCAAGCAGAAACTCAAGCAATCTTCCAAACAAATGGAGGCATGTGCACAAAAACAAATGGAGAACAATCAAGAAGAGATAACAGAGGACACACCACCAGCTAATATGGCTGAAATACTCAAAGAACTGAGAGAATTTCAATCTGAAACAATAGTTAGTTTTGGATCATTGAAAGCAGAGTTAAATGTGCTACGTACATATTTCATGAGTTTTAA